GAGTATAACATTAAAACATGATATAAAACTCAAAAAAGTTTATTTTACATGATATTGCCCCTTTAACCCATTTTTTTCTTTTTCTAAATAAAGATCTACAACRGAATATTCACAAACAAAATTTATTTAGTTTATTTGTCCTTACAGACTTTTATTGATTTCCAAAACTTTCTGTTGTGTGTTGGATGATTGTGTAGGGAAGGGTTCAAAAATTGGGAGCCCGATTAATGGAGCAGAAAACCAAGTTCTGTTCTCAGTTATAAAAGGTTTATTCTGCAGCTCTGAAAACTCCATTTCACCCAGAGCCTGTGTGCGTATGATCCTGAGTCTTATCAGCAAACACAAGCAATGGTTTCTCTCTACTGCTGCTGGTTACGCTAAATCTTACGTGTACCTCGTAAATCATATTTACTGCARTAGAACACCCTGGTCACACCCCTGGGTGGCRCCTTCTACACCAGCATTTGAATGTAAAACAATTCTATGTTTATCCTGCAGAAGAGGGGCACATTAAGTAGAAAAATGCTGATTTTTTTCCATGATTTTAAGTAAATGATTACAACTGATCACAAAGTATGTGACATAAGATTATATTTAAAATTCAATCGTTTACTAAATTTCCTTCAAGAACAGAAATTCAAAGTAAATATCCTCATCCAAATGAGTAATTTTGTATTGTTTTCTGAAAACAACCCCTTCTCTGCTGTCTAGATTAACATGCATTGAAAATTCAGAAAGAAAAATCAACAATGCTTTAAAGAAAAGTGCCTGGAAATCTCATCATACCAATTGTGACTTTGTAAAAAGAATGCATCAGTTGGTGCCTCTTTAATACTACATGCTTTACCACTTGTAACCACCAGATGCCAGACTGAGCGTGACACTGAGCCACGAGAGCAGCAGCAGCAGCAGCATGGGCGCCGACAGAGAGACAAAGACCACAGAGGAAAAGATGARGAGAGGAAACGGCAGCGACACCACTATGAGTTTGACAAGTTTATGAGGCGGAAAGATGAGACCAAATGGGGCAAAGGATACTGCCAGGACCGAGCCAAAAAAGAGGGGCATCATCATGGCTACTCTTATTGTCYCGACAGTGGAGAGAAAATGGGAAAGGAAGACAGGGAAGAGCTGAGTAACAGGAAGGAACGCCTCCGAAACAAGGTGAGCGAAAAGGTGAGCATGGCAGTAGAAAGACGGGCACTGATGTCTTTAAAGATGCTGAAACTATGATTCAGATATAGCTTTTTAGTTGTGTTGCTTATAATAAAAACACCTCTCATAAATAATACCCATTTAGTGGAAACTACGCTTTAGGAGGAGGATGGAAATTCTCCTTCTAGAAGCTACACCTGCCTTTACTGAAAAGTCTAGTGTCACCATCTGTATTTAATTATTGTTTTTTTTTTCTTTCCTTTATTCCCCTCTTGACAAAGAGATGACAGGAATGACTGTAAAAAAATAACAGTGAAATTAAGTTAAGGGGATATTTATGTTATCAAGTTATTCAGTCACTTGTCATAACTTTGGAGTTTTTAAAAGTTTCTTTGTCTAATGTTTGATTAAGTGTCAAATATGTGGGGAAACATATACTGCTTTTATTTAGTCATCTATAGCGTATACTAGTGTGTAATATATCATTGTTGTTATTCCAGATGGTAAAGACCAGCAAGGTCACTGTGCCAAAGCTAAATTATTTAGTGTAGTGGAGAGCTGTGTTTGTCACTTGCTCATTTCTGTTTTGGGTTTTGAGCCAGGAGTTACAGGCAGGAAACAGATTGACTAAAAACATCCTGCACTTCAACCCCACTCGTGAAAATGTATAATACAGTTAGGGTGGGGTTTATAAATGCAGTCATGAGTGAAGAAACCACAACACATAATTAAAATATAAAAACTAGGGCATAAGTTTTAAAAATGTTCTAAGATTGTTGGAGAATATTGGGTGATATTCATTCATTTGTGCCATTTTTATTTTACATTTTGTTTTACAGTCAACTACATTTATTGAAAAAAATTTGACCAACACTTTGTTAAGATCTGCAAAAGTGCAGATTTTCACAAAGTGTTGGTCAAATTTTTCACAAAGTGGAGTGAATACAGTATCACTTGGTTTGACTGAGAATAGTGATGGCATTTGGGACACAGGGTTTTTTAAAAATACCTTTTGCCAGAGGAACTGATTTTAAAGGCTCAAACTGACTAAAAAGAGGGTGTTAACTATCTGTAGTCATTTTGTTAGCTTTCCTCCCTATCCTGTCAGTGTAGAGGTGGACCATATACAGCGGGTAAAATAAGTATTGAACACATCAACATTTTTCTCAGTAAATATATTACTAGAGGTGCTAATGACATGAAATTTTCACCAGATGTTGGTAACAACCCAAGTGATCCATACATACAAAGAAATCAAACCATAAATGTCCAGAAATGAAGTTATTTGTAATAATGCTGAAAAACAGCCCCACACCATGATGTTCCCACCTCCAAACTTCACTGTTGGTATGATGTTTTTGGG